GTAAAATCTAACCCCTGGAATCCATTTTTTTTGGCAAAGTATCAGATGTAATTCCAATTTACATGTTAATATCAATAGCAACACGATAAAACATGCTGGAGGAAATTGGCAACACCAAAAATGATACGGCTATCAGTAGGGATATCTATCGGAGCTCTCCTGTCAGTGGTTTCATGCCAAAGAAAGTAGGTCAGGAGGACCTGACATGTGTAAAAGTATAAATTTATGAACAACTTATATCATCATAAAAAAAAGGAAAGACATTTTTTGGATGGACAGGTTTTACGTGGTCTCCAAAACCAATGTTGAACCCTCACAGCAAAGATACGTTGTGAGGCAATAAAAGAGTGTAAATCTTGAATTTTCTCCATCAAATAGAATTGATTTCTTATCATTCCTACATAAACGATGGTGGCATACATACAGCACTGGAGGAGGAGATAAGAAACGGTGGCTTATGCTGTGTTGATTTTCTGTTTGAGGATTATTTTTTGTTTTTTTTAATGTTTATTTCAAATTTTTTCTTCATTTGAAAAGTTTTTTGTTTTATGTCTTACAAGACATCTTTTGCGCATTACATGTTTTGTACTATTTACAGAGCATTTATTACAAAAAATTCACAGCATAATGTACTAAAAAAATGTATATCTCTGATTGTACTACAAAAATGTTACAGCATTGTACGACAAAATCTGGACAGCATTTTACTACAAAACATTAACTGTATTGATTGTACTTCAAAAATATTCTTAGCATTTTACTGCAAAACATTTACAGCATCGTACTTCAAGATATTTGCACTTCATCTGTGTTCCCTCATTTGAAAAATACCTCCTCACACTTAGTTTGTCACTTGTCCATTTGACGGCTTGCCCTTGAAGTTTTGCCAGCTAATGAGATTATTCCAGAGATCCCCCGATTCTCACTCTGGAATCATGTAGGGATATTGTGTTAAAGACACGTTTCTCGAGGACTTTCAAAGGATTCTAATAAAATCTTGATTAATTTTTAAAAAGCTTTGAATGTAAAACAGTGTCTGACCTTCTAGAGAAATCGATGCATTAACCAAGTAAAACAGAGAGCTTTTATCATTTAAAAAATTGTGAGAGAAAAACCCCTGATGTATTTGTTTACGAACACTGAACAAGTATCGATGCTTGAAAACAGACTATGTGTTAAGTGAGCCTCTGAGGATGAAATTACTTTTTAACTCATTCACCCCTGAAGACACATTTGAACTCTTCCAGTTCATCGGTTGGAATAGCTCATAATGAAATATCAGGGGTGAATGAGTTGAAGGACAAAAAAGACGTTCTCGAAGCAAAGATTTTGATGTGCTTGTTTAGATGAATAACTGTATTAAGAAAGTGGCCTTGACTCTGCTAACTTATCCCTCCTGTATCTGTGGAAAATGTATAGTAAAACATGGGATCATAATTTGGACATGTGTACACTCCAGAACGCATTCTTTGGTTATAGCCGGATAATTTAGAATGATGAGATGATGGTAGTTAACAAAGGGATCTCAGACTGAAATAACTCTAAAAAGACAACAAAAAACAAGGTTATATGATGACTATGGTAATACAAATTTTGAATGATGAGATGAAGATTATTCAAGGGAGATACAGAAGTCTAAAAAATAAATTTCAAGTGGCATCTTTATGGTGAATATGGTAACAGTTTCATCAGATTAAAAGGATCACAAGAGAGATAACTCTAAAACAAATTACCGGTAGCATCTCTAATATGGCAGCTATATATAGTAACATAATTTTTGAATGATGAGATGACGATTATTAAAAGGATCTCGAGGGAGATAACTCTAAAAAAAGAAAATACAGGTGGCATCTTAATTGTGAATATGGTAACGGTTTCATCAGATTAAAAGGATCGCAAGGGAGATAGTCTAAAACGTATTACAGGAAGCATCTAAATGGTCTATTCCACCTGCCAATAAGAGTCATGGTTTGGTATTGTGGTTTCTTTGCTGTTTTATTATAGACAATAGTACATGGCAATTTGAATGAGCTGTTGGAAATGTAAACCCATAACAAATTAGTTACATTTGACGTGGTAGAATAAAAATAATCAACTTATGTGCGTGCATTATGGTGGAATATATAACTCCATTTAGTTGCGCTGGTGAATGATTAGCTGAACTGTTGCACAATGCAGTAAATACTATATTTAAAAAAGGAAACAGATGTCACTGGTGTTGTGAGGATCAGATTTCAATCTGCACAAAGTCTTTAATTTAACCTCAGTGTTTAAGAATCAGGTTTGACAATTACCGAGTAGGTCAAAACGACATCAAGACATTTTGCATTGAAGATGTAAACATGTGTTTCTCTCCTATGCTGTCAAAGTATCATGTTGAAAGTTTCAGTGAAGATAATTCAGCAGCACACACAAGAGCAGGAATGAAACAGTGTTGATGCAGTTTTGTATATATACATTTGTCTATCATAGTACATGGTGACTATAATACAATACATCTCCAGCACACACGCAGGCATACACACATAGGGAGATATTAGCCAGGTGGCATATAGGACTAGTAGTTAGCGCCTGATAAGGCAGCTTATGCAAATTCCTCAAAATTGTATTAATTAATGTATTATTTAATGTATATTTATTGATTATATAAATTTTATATCTATGTAATGTGAAGGGCTTTAGGGTGGCTTATTCTAGCTAGATAGCATTAGGGCGCTATATCCGATGTATATTTGTTATTTGTATAATTTAAGAAGCGTATTTGACCTTTACCTGTACAGATGTATGTTTATAACTCCTGTTGGACAGTCGTATGACCTATGTGCCTACTGGGGTGATAACAAAATGTGTTTTTAAATGATTTGGATCCCTATGGAAGTGAAATCTACCCTGTAATGTAAACCCCGCGCTTGGCTTAATCTGAATAGAAACACTGGCAAATAAATAGGGGAAAAAGCCTGTTCATATGTACAGCTGTATGCTGAGATTTTACAGATCTACCAAAAGACTTCGTCAACTTTAATCATTTTTATTTTTATTTTTTTACATTCAATAAATTAATCTGAACCAGAAAATATCACAAATTATCTTGTAATTTGAAGATCTTGGATGAGGCTGTAATTCTGTAAAAGTTATGTAGGGAAGTTTAAAGTAGAAAAAGACCTTTAATTGCTACAAAAACCATTAAGCATGGTTAATGTAGTTGAGATGAACTAACTCGCCTCTTGGGCATACTTTCATATCCTCTCCCCCCCCCCCCCATGAATCCTGATGCATAAAATTATGGTTCAATGATCTTAGGATCCATTAGGTCCTGATTTGGTGGCCTTTGGAACCTGACCTGTCGACCTTTGGAACCTGACCTGTCGACCTTTGGGACCTTTAATTAACCCTTCCTGGCTTTTAGCACCCGATGTGCTAATATTACCATTAGACACCTTTTGGGTGTTGAGAGAAATAATCGTGACGTCTTTTTCTAATCTCGGATGTAAAAAATAATCTGATACAAAAATATAAATACCAAATGGTCTGAATGATATACATACCTTTTCAAAATAGTTTATTTTTTATGTAGTTTTACTATAGAGATAATATGTATTGGGGGGGATTTTTTAGATTTTTTAAGTTTTCAATGGAATACAGTTTTGCCTGCATGCAACGTGAAGGAAATAATTATCCTAAACTTCAAAAGTGAGACAATCACTTGAAATGCTGTCTGATTCGGTGGCTTATATTATGTTACTCTAAAATTTGTGTATTTGGTGTTCAACTTTGCCCAGGGCAAGGCTTCTTATCCAGTCTCTGATAAAAAAAGTCTTCATGAAATCTTAATGAACATTTTCATGATCGGAGACCACAAAGATACTGTTACTTCATGTTTTCTCTCAAAACTTTCAACAAATAATTTTTTTGGTCATCGCACCATGTGAAATTGTTTTAAGGACATTTATGGCATGTTTTACGATCTTAGCACTGGTTGCCTAGTTTGCCAACAGGAACCACAAAGGCGACGACAGTTTCGCCATCTTACATCCTGCACTTAAGTGGGATCGGGCAGCCAGTAGGTCAAACCTGTTAAGATGCTGTTAATGGGAAAGGCTCCCATCGCACAGGGATTGATCTTTTATTTTACAAACTCGTAACAGTTGGGGACATGCGATGAGGATCATATAATCTGAATGATCCGTTTTTAAGTTGCACTAACTTATGATTTGTCTATCAGTCTGCATTAAAGAGGGGTTCTTCATGATCAGTTCAACAATATGTTTAAGGAAATTTAAAAATGAATTGTCAAGAATCATATCACTGAGTAAGGTAGCATTTGAAACATTCACATTTTATCAGTGTTTATAATACTGCATACTGGCCGGATATATTCACTGCAGTTTAATGTTCACCTTTTTCGCTCTCCCAAATGAAGACAAATTTATCATTACAGCCAACATTAGTAAACAACATAATATGCACAGTAATTATAAGTGAGGGTGAATACACGGGGGATGGGCGAAAGTTTGACAGGGTGAAAATTTCACAGTATGCAGTAAATAATTTTAAGGCACATCTTATTGTAATATGAAGAATTTTCATTTTGTGTTTTAAGTACAGCAATTTTGAAACTTACCCTAGCCCCAATTAACCAAGGTTCTTCAACATGGAATTGCTTGATTTTCTTTTCCATTTGAAAAGTTGGGAATTTTTCTGAACCCAGAGTACTACTGCTATCCATTTTGAAAGCAACAGGAAGATGAAACAGAAAGAAAGATGTAAAAAAATAGTGAAAAAAACCTCTAGCAGAGTCTAGACATGAACTTGCAACAAAGTTGATATTTTTTTAGATTTATTTATTAATTTTAAAAAGAAAGCCTATTGATTTTGAAGAATGTAAGGTGGGGAGACTTTACTTTTGAGTTTTTTCATGTTATTACTTTTTATGAGAAATATGCATAACACTACATCTGTGCAATGTTTGTGACACAGATTTCATCTTTTTGTATTTCCAGGGTGGAGGAAATTTTCAAATGGCGGGTAGAAGTGGAGGACACAGGATCCAACATAGGAATGGGAAGGATCATTTGGAGTATTGAATACGAACGGGACCATCATCGCCACGAGTCCTACACGTCACAGGGCCTGGGCTCACGAATCGTCTCACGCATCAACATACGGAGTCGAGAACAAGAGAGGATTGTCCCCATATTGAAGGTAAGCAATGCATATTATTATATACGTTCTTGTAATATTTTGATGTATAATATTTCGTATGCGACAATAAGTTGTACCTCAATAAATATAATCTGTGTTTCCAACAGGGATACAATAAGGTTCACATTTTCCACCATATTTGTTTTCATAGTTAACATCATTTGACTTAAGTTGAAAAAATAATTTAGAAGTGTGACAAAGTCGCAATCTACTTAGACAATATATACCTGAAGCTATCCTGTGATATGCCCCCTGGGGCAATTGCAGTCAGCCACTCAAATTAGTGGGGTGAACTTATTACAGGATAATGAAATAACATTTGTCGGCATATCTTCTCAACTGCTATAGAAATAAGGGTAAGTGGGCTTATTCCTAGGGATGGGCATATTGCATTTTACATGGAGATACATTTATATGAACAAACAGCTGGGGATCATGATAACTTTCATTCTGTTTAAGTGTCACCTCAGTACTTATTCTTGTCTTTCTATAGCAAAATTGGTTTAGGGGATTGTGGTGTATGAATTTTTCTTAAATTTGACTTTTACAAAAAGTCATTTTTTTACTTTTACAATTAGGCATTTTCCAATTATTTTTTTTTAAATGCGAACACAACAAAAACCCAGCTGTCTTTAATCATTAAAGAGTTCACTTGAACTCACTTATTGATCTTTTGTTTCCATTACATGATTTAAAAGTATGTACTCTGTAGTTAATTAGAGGAGATCTAGACGTTGTTGCCTTACGGCTTTACTCGGTGTGAAGCTACAATGTGGATTAAACTCGGGGTTGTGTATGTAATTGTTAACTACACTTTCATGAAGCTGCAATCAAACATGCTCGAAATCTGTTGCCATTTCCTGCTAGGAACTCTTTAGGTAATGGAGGTACTTTTAAACTCCATTCTTTGAGATGTAATTGAAAGTACACTGTATATAAAAATTCCGAAGTTTTAGTTGCAATAGGAAAGTATGAAAGATTGGATAGAGAAAGACTGTGCAGATTAGCAAATAATAAATGTCATCAAGGTACACGCAAGCTGTATTACCGGTAGGATGCTCCTAGGGATAATCATTGGATTTAGTATTATTTTTATCATAATTAAAGTTCTGATTTTTTTTCAAAGACGGATTATATAATTTCCAGAAGTTGCCCAGTTGGTTTTGTTTGTTAGAAAACCCCAACACCTTTACTGCTTTATAAATGGAGGAATTCAACGAAGGATTTGGATAAAGAAATCCTCATATTTCTGCTGAGGTGCGAAAATAGTCGCAATACTAAGTGTGTTGTTTTATGAAGAAATATATATAAATAAAATTGTGCCTCTCGTCATTTCCTTGCATTTGGCACCCGTTATTACATCAAATATGGTACTTGCTGTTCATGAAAATATGTGAAAAATGTTCGGTATTTAAAAAAGCAAAATCTTTCAATTTGGTAGTGAAATATTGATGTAGGTAAGTGGAAAGAGGGGAAGTGGTGCGAGTCGGAAATTAGCCAATCCCTTCAGTCCCCCATCATTGATCCTCCAAGGAACCTTATCTAAGAAATACAAGTTTCTATTGAGAAGGAAGACTTGTCTGTAGTGGGCTTGAATTGTTGTATTGTCAAATCAAAGTCCAGGAAGATTCATCATGTCATCCAGCATTCTAGATACCAAGGTTTGTCTGTACTCTAAACTCCGATGTCAGGGCAAACTTGTCTGTTCCATTCTGGGTGTAGCGTTAAAGTCGCTGTTCAATTGATTTCTTCACAACCAACATAGAGAAATTGGAGGAAACAACAGGAAGATAAACGATCACTTACTCAATTTGTTGGGCTTTAAGAAATGTTTTTTTATCTGATTGTTGGTGAGATTTTATTTGTAAACTTACTTTCCTGTAGATTTCATTTGTGAGAACATTTCAAATTTCTATTTCTTGATTCCATTATTTTCAGTTTTGAAAAAAATTCTGTCAAACTTTCTTCTTTACTTTCTTGGAATTGGCAACTGAAGTGTATAATGTGGTTTTCAAATTGATATTCGCCAGCTTTCTGTAATAAATAATTCAGAATATTTGTTGTTTAAATATAGTTGAATCATTGTTTCAACACAAATGTACCTTACAATGGTGATAACAGATGTTGGGTTGTAAATTTAACACTTTGTGTGAATTTTCTACGAGCTTTGTCAAAAGTATTGAATTTTTATGAAGGTTCTCGATTTCAGATGGATAAATGTGAATTACCTTTGTGTAGAGAAACCAGAAATACAAACAGATCCATTTCCCTATTAGCATTGTACATATTTGGTTCTCCAATATACGGGTATACAGCAATCAAATATCATTTAAGAATATTTGTTTTCATTTCAATGAGCTTAGTTAGGACAAACAATTTCTAAACAATACAAACTCTGTGTAAATTACGTTTAAATATCAACACCTTCGATAGCAAATGCCACAAAGTAAAAGAATATATACAATCCCAAAACAATTGCAGTAAGTGTGGTGGATATTTGAAAATCTAGAATATGATGCTGACACTGTGCATCAGCAGAACAAAGTTCGATTCACAGAACAAAAGCATTTATTTAGAAAAAGTAAAAATAAAATAAAAAGCCACTTAATATGGACATTTTGTCAGGTCTTGATGCTAGTGCTGTTTGTATATTTTTGAAAATGTTTGTTTTTCTAAATGCATCATTTATTCACTCCAATGTTTCAAGGCTATTTATTACGCCTACATTGAATTTATACAATTTAAGTTTTAAGGACATTTCTCATACACCTATATTAAAATGATATATCATTTATGATATTATTCACTTCAGAGTTTCAAGGATTTTTGCACACATGCATTTAATTGATCCATGATTAATACACTTCAAAGTTTCAAAGATAGTTCCCGCACCTAAATTGAATTTAAAAAACACTTGAAATAGACACATAGATTTCTCATCAAGTGTCGTTGTAGGGTCCAATTCAGTTTTAATAAAATGTTCAAATATTCGCATACACACATCTAAGGTCGGAACGTTCATAGGGTTTCGGTTACACTATTGATCGGCGAAGAAAGTAGTAGGGCTTCCTGTCGAAATGTGGAATGTTGTTTACATAGTGATTTCCCATTCAAACGTATATTCTATTGATACCCGTTCAGCTTAGGAAATTTAAAGGATCAGTGGCACGTTAAGCCGGCAGCCCTTCAACACCAGGGTATTACCTGAGGTCCTGCTAAAATCCCATTATAGAACGATGGGTATCCAAATAACTGTAAAAATATCTACCTTGCATGAATAAATTGTTTTGTTGAGAAACCTTAGATGTATTGAATTTTTTTTTTTATGTTTGAAACTGAGAAGTCATTGAGATATAGGATTTCTGATTACGATTTCTTTTTTTTTAATTTTCGGCCTCTATTCTCACTCTAGGTTGTAGTGGTATGATTCGTTAATTGTCTATTGTCGATACCTCCTCATTACGAACCATCTACACCCTTCATGTTCCGTTCTGTAATAAATATATAGTGAACATATGGAACATAGAATCTATTTGAACAAATATATGAGCGATGTATCAATAGCTAGATCAATGTATTATGGGATATCGTATTGGGTGTTCTTTGTAAGTGAGAGGAACAGATCCTAATCTTACCTTGCGTAACACTGGGTCTGCATTGTCCAAGTTTCAATTTATTAAATTGGAAATATGTACCAAGGGGATATGGTGAAATTAGTTTTGTTTACTCGCTTGCGTTTAATGCTCATAATGCATCACCACTACATTGACTATACACCATTAGCAAGTCTTGTTTTCTATGTTTTTAAGAATAATTCTATGACAGAATCATGCGATATTAAATTTAGTATGGACAAGGGCTGGTGTTTATAGAATTGCACAATCCATACATTATACAATTATAGCATGTGTTGATGAGGTCAATCAGTGATTTTATTACACTAACAAAGAACAATATTGACCGGAAACGGCACAACCAGGAACAGCAAACAATATATCCTCTGTCAATGTTATTGTTCTTCATTGCTGCTGTAAAAATAATGGACTTATCAAAATTACAGTTGCATATATACTATCTGCTTTCCAAACTAAAAAGTTCACAAAAGTTAGAAAGGTAATTTAATCGTTTTGTTAAATCCTGACTGAGTCAAAATTTCATCCTTTTGCTACACTTGTATTTTGAATTGAAAGTTTCAAGAGAAGTTCTCTTAGCCTTAACCTATGTTAAGGTCATTTTTCTTAATAGCCTATATTTTTAGGTCACACATTTAGGTAATTCTGTACATGATACCAGGCCAACTCGTTTTATCAAAGGGATGTGTGTTGGGCTACTGGTCTTGATGATATTATATTGTTACATGTAAGTACAAAGTACTTGTGGGATAAGAGGGATCGTGGATGTAGTCCTCTTACAGGATACTCGGGGGTTCATGGGAATATTTTCGCTACACACAGACAAAACCTGCTCTAGAAGACTTTGTTAGTTTACTTTAAAACATGAAACACCTTTATTGGGGCTTTAAATTGTTTCAAGGTTTTAATATGTACCAACCAACAAGCCTTTGCAGTTAGCTGGTGCATGTTTGAAACTTGAAATATAGTGAGTTATAAGGAGTGCTTCAAAACACCAGAAAAGACGGAAAAAACATGTTGAGAAAACATCAGACAGATGTCGTTAAGTGTAAAAATTACAAATTTTGTCGTGAAGGAATTTGGTCCCGAGACCCTATATGCTTACTGTAGTGAAGACAGGATACATCTTACAATATATTTGTAGACTTGGAAGGGTCAGAGGATTCTAGTGAGACCAGAACTGTTCTTGAAAGTCCATGCAAAAAAGTGTTCCATCTGCAAGCTGACAAAGCATAATGCCTCCACCCACTTGAGAGGCTTTAGACTTGTGATAGCTAACGATGTGAACAAGCACTTCACAGGTCAAACTATCGCTACATTGTAGTTGTATTGATTTTTTGCGTCGTTAAGCTAACTATACCTGAAATC